CCCTCGTGGTCTCTGCGTCTATGTCTCTCGCCCGTTTTCTCTTTCTCTCCTCTTGTCCGCTTCACCCTAGCAGCAGTGCTCATGCTCGCCTCCGATTGGCCAGCGGCCGTTCTTTGTGAGCTATCGATGGCGTGACGTCGCGTTAGTGTGTGTAGGTCAGAAAGGAGTATTCACATCACGTATTCTGTTAGCTTTTTCGTTTGGAGAGGGGGGAAGGGGGGTAGAGGAAAAAGAAAGAGAGAGGAGGCTATAGTGCAGCAGTGATAGCAATCACACTGCCTTTTAAAAAAAAATGCTCATGTGTGTATGTGGTTGAGCCATGAATTGGAGGAAGTGAGAAAGAGAGAGAGCGAGAGGCAGGGAGGGTGAGAACGAAAGAGCGTACGAGAGTTAATGTAAAACAGGATTAAGAACACAAGATGGCTTCCTGAATGGACAGAGACCAGAAAGAGAGAGGGAGAAGAAAAGAAAGATAAAGAAAGACAGAGCGAGAGAGAGGTGGGGGGACACAGAGAGAATGCTTTGGGTCTTCTGATGGGGATACCTCTTGCCACCGAAGAGCAACACACGAAGGCAGCGAGGCCGAGTAGGTAAATATTTATTAGCACAGGGAAAAATGACAGACAGTCATGGCAGATGGGGGGGTGGGGGTGGGTTAGACTCTGAACAGCACCGGTTTATAGAAAAACCGGGGTCAAAAATAACTAGCTGGCATTAGCTCACATTTAAATGTCTCTTTATGCCATACAGATATGTTTTATATCATAATTGGCAGGATTGTATAAATATGAAGGACATAATTTGATCCTCTATTTAAAATGTTCTGTTTTGTGCATGTGAATGAGCCCAGTCATAATTTAAACCTTTCTGACTCATGACTTATGACAAGATACATTTATTTTTCTGCTAGTTATCATGGGTTGTAAGGTTTGGATGATTATGATGTTTTTTTTATTGTCAATGTTCGTGTCATTGACAGTTCTCAATCTGTTTTCTTCCTTTCTTTTTCCATGATTATCCTGGAAGGTGGAATATTTTGAAGACGTAAAAACCCGGTCCATAATCCCAAACCTGGCTAAAGAGGTGAGCTAAATAACCCTTGGCCAGCTGTGTCTCTGTGTGTATCTTGTTACAGCAAATGTCAACTGTTTTTGATATTCCTGTACTTGCCTGATGTTTCCTCAGTGCATGGGTATGAATCAGAAATGGTACAATGTTTTGAGCTGCAGTTGATGATTTGTGCTTTTTGCGTGACTCAACAGGCCCAATGCGTGCCCAGATGCAGTGCGACTGCTTTGGCTTGAAGCAACAGCTGCGTTCAGGCATCCACCTGCATGTTGCAGGTGCGACTCTGTGTTTATGGCCTCCATTTCTGATCCTAGTTGTACGCCAAGGTCCGTTTCACAGGGATGTGCTTTAGTGTTGATTCTTGAGCGGGGCGAGAAGACAGTCATGTGGACTAGGCCCCGGTTTAAAGAGACCCGGGCTCTGCGCTTATTGGAAGAAATGTAGGCGTGAGCTTCGCCTGGCAAAGAGAGAGAAGAGAGGAGGAGGAGTTGGCCTCTCTCTCTTTCTCATTCTCACTTTCTCTTTGGCTCTATCTCGCTCAGTCTGTCAGTCTGTCTGTCTTCTTTTTTTCTGCACTCTATGTCAAGCCCGGGAACAGAGAAAAGAGTGGTGAGCAGGACTGTCAAAGTTTCTAGTCATCTGAGGTAAAGGGAGTAAAAGTTAGTGGGTCACATAAACGCACGCATGTGCGGTGACGCCACTGGTATTTGTGTGTCCGTGTGAGCGAGCACATGGCGGAGTGTTTATGGACTAAGAGTAAGGTAGTGTCAGAATTAGAGAAACTCGACAGGCCTTGAGAGCTTTCGGTGCGAGTTAGCGGCAAATTACCCTCAGCGAATATGCTGAATTACACATAGGAGAAATTGTGATTGGTGCAACTGCTGTAAAATCAAGCAGACAGTCTCAACAGCACCGGCGATGTCAGCGCTCCTCTTTGCGCTCTCACCACACCACGGCGGGTTTAGCTTTAGCTTCGGCCAGAAGTAAATGTTTAAGTTTATCTTGAATCTAGAATGTATAATCCATACCAGTTAATTTCTAACTGGCTATTTTGGCTTGAGTGATCAAATGCATCGTCACTAAATTCCGTACACCTACACACACACAAAGTCTTACATAAACTCACTCAGACACGTTTGGTTAAAATACAGCTAAATTTTGCTTGCCTTAAAGGATCGTCTCAAAATTTTGTTTGCGGCTTACCAGTTGGCCAACACGACCCTCATCTGTCACACTTCATTGTCGCTCGGCCACAAATTGCCAGTTTGCTGTGAGAAGATGGCTTGCATCACATACTCATTTGCTCTCAAAATACTTTGGATTTGGATGACTGTGGATTGGCATTGTCAAGTTTTGTTAGGCAGTTTGCTATGATGCAACACGTGCGGTGACGTTAAGTTGTGTTGTTATATAATTACTCAGCTCTACTCAGAAATTGTTGACCGGTACTTCAAACCAAACCCGTGAACATGAAGAACATTCGAGGCTCCTTGAAGAGGTGATGTTTCTGTGTAGTGTTTCTTTCCTTTGGCTTGGCTTCTGATTGACGTAATGTACTGTAGTTGTGGGGATAACCAAAACATGAAAGCGCTCTGCAATAGACTATAAAAGCTGACGCTACTCTACTGTAAACGTTTGATCTGTGGGGTAAATGTGTATCATCACCCCAATTTATTCATTTAATAGGTTCCGAAAGAGCTCATGGAAAGTGTGTAGTAATGACTCGTTTTGAGGTGTGCGGAATCCCCTGGCATGACGGGAAAGGGTTAACAGTGACCTAGATTTTGCGGCAACAATGAGTGGCAGATGACATCACGGCTGTAATTATAGTTCAGACCCGCCCATGAGGCAACACACGTGATGCAGTATTTGTGTGTATGTATATGAGAATGTGTGCTTGTGAGGGGAAATTATATGCGAGTGTGAGCGTTTAAAGGTAATGCGAAAGGCAGGAAGCCACTTGTTTTCATTTAATCGTTCTCATGAAATTATGCTCACAATGTAATTCGCTACAAAATAAACCGGTTGTTTTCTACAGATGTCACTATGAGTAAACCGAGACAGAAGTTCACTTTTGAGAAAACAGGAAGTTAAAAATGGGATGGCTGTAAACTATTTTAATTAGCTGATGCATTGTCATTCCTGAAAACACACACACACACAGAGACAGACACACACACACAAGCTATACTCAAAGCAAAGTTTGCGTAACATTAGGTCTGTTTTTTCCCTGTCTATCCACCCAACCAAACATTCCAAAGTCTAGCAAGTGAACTGAAATGATTTTATAGCAAAATATACCACCATTTGAGTAGCATGTACTGGGACTGGGTTTATAATAACTGGGTTTAGAATAATGGGAATGCACGATTCATTTTACTAAATTGATTCTAATAACCATTTGTTTTTATTTACTGTTTCTCATTTTGTTGTATAGCTATGCTTAACTGTGCAAAAACTTTTTGTTGAGGTAAACAAATTGTTTAAACAGTTCAATTGTTTCGGTGTTTTTGATCGAAAGCTGGGATAATCAGTATGCTCGTGTTGTAAGTTAAGCTAGTTTTATAATAAAATCTTATTATATAAGAAACATATATATTGTAGATTCAATTAAAACTTCTTTGGTCTACTAATGTATAGGGGTGTGACGAGACACTTATCCCACGAGACGAGACGAGACATGAGACTAGGTTCACGAGAACGAGATGAGATGAGACTTTTTTTAAAGAAATCCTCAATGATGAAATATATAGGGAAAAATAGTCTTTTATTCTTATTAATTAAAATCATGAAACTTATACATTTTCACATCAATTTATTAAAAGTTGAACAAAAATGACATTTTTAGGACCCTATGAAATGTTTTATTTTTTCTCACCATATTATTTTTATTTTTTATTGTTACCAAATTCTGTGTCTTAGCATGTCTAATTATTTGAATGCATAAAACAACTTAATTTATTCATTTTTTTCTTAAAGTAGCCTTATGAATTTTTTTCCCCCTCAGAAATTCTGTGTTGTATATTTACATTTTTTTCTGGTTATCAAATGAAGGCATAAAACATTATTTTAATTTATCATTTATCTTTTAATTATTGAAAATGAAGCAAACAAGATTTTTTGGCAAACAAAGGGGATTTACTATTAAAATTAAAACATGGAAGAAATGTTTTGTGTGATTATTCCTTAAAAAATAATGTTTGTTTCATTGTAGTAGTTAGTGTTGTCACGGTACCAAAATTTCAGTATTCGGTACCGATACCAGTGAAAATCCACGGTTCTCGGTACCAATTTCGGTACCAAAGCAAAACACAAAAACATGCTAATTGAACAACATTTTTATTAATAACGTTAAATAAAAAATAAATGTACAAAACCAATGCCATTCTTTATACTTATTTAAAAGTGTTTCAAGTTTTCCCACAAGTAATAAAAGTAAGAAAAAAGTAAACAAGTTTCACCCAAAAGTTTAGTCATAGTTCTGCTGCCACTGAAAAACATCTGTAAACTGTTGTCTGTTTTAGGGTTTGCTGGTGTGTTTCAGGATCTTCCTCAGTCTGCAGCTGTAAAAGGAAAATATAATATACT